GTCTTGAAACATGGTTCTCATGTTCCCTCTCAACTGTTTCTTCTCCCAGCTAAACATCCCCCAGGAGGAAAGGAGGAAGGAAAAAGAGGAGGAAGGAAGGAAGAAAGGGAGGAAGAAAAGGATGAAAGGAAGGAAGGGTGGAAGGGAATGGATGGAGGGGTGGAGGGAGGGAAGGAGGGAGATAGGAAGGAGAGAAAAAAAAGACAGAAATGAAGACAAAAGGGAAGGAAGGAAAGAGGGAAGGAAGAATGAAAGAGAGAAGGAAGGAAAGACAAAAGTGAAGGAAGGAAGGAAGGAAGGAAAGAGAAAGGGAGAGAGGGAAGGAGGGAGGAATGGGGGAAGGAAGGATGAAAGGATGGATGGGAAAGAAGGAGGGTGGGAGGGAGGAAGAGAGAGGTAAAGAAGGGAGGGAGTGAGGGAAAGAAGGAAAAAGGTAAGAGAGAAGGAAGGAAAGACAAAAGCAAAGGAAGGAAGAAAGGAAGGAGAAAGGGAGAGATGGAAAGAGGGAAGAAAGAGGGAAGGAAGGAAAGAGGAAAGGGTGGGAAGGAAGGAAGGAGGGAGAAAGAGGGAGGGGAAGGGAGGGAGGGAAGAAAGAAGGAAAGAGAGAAGGAAAGAAGGATAGGTTAGTGAGAGATGAAGCCTTGAGAAAAAAGCCCAAGGGGCCACATCCATTCTCCGGACCTGGGTTTGCCCATACCTGATGTATATGCTACTCTACTAGTATCAGATTAGGTAGGGTAACTGCTGGGCAATGTTTTGGATAGTACAAAAGCAGAATCCCTAATCTGTTTTGCTGGTTTAGCACAATATGCAAATAAAACAAATTAATACTCATGGAAGCAGGGAAGCTGAATAAAGAAAATGACTTCTTACAGGCCCTCCTCTAGCTCTCAAGCTGTTCTTAATGCTCAATTGGGTATAATGTGTATGTCAGAGAGGTTATTTGTTATCCTAGATGTTGATTGCACATCTTATTCCAGCTATCTCATCCATTACCAAAAATCATAGATGAGAGAGACCTTACTATGGATGTACCCTGACTTCAAAAACAGGATCTTGATATCTTTGGGTGGATTGATTGAGATTTATGGGTGGGAGGAAGAAGAACATTCTACAGCTGTTAATTTTCATCAGATTTATGGGTAGGAGGCAGAAGAATACTCTACAATTGTTAATTTTCTGGCCTACTGTGCCTTCAACTGCTTAGCCCTCTTCCCAATGGTACACCATACCTGTAGTGACAGTGATTTTACCCTCTTCTTACTTGGATCCTTGCCCACTCTCCAAGGTAGATATCTGGGCCCCCAAAATAACACTTCTTTAGTGAGATCATGTCTTACTGACAATGAGTGTCCCCAGTTCCTCAAGAAGAAAAATAACTATTAAGATAATAATTCCCAAATTGTGAGAATAAATTTATTTATTCGTTCATTTATAATATTGATACCTCACTTTTCAGTCACAAAAGGTCTCAGAGTGGTTTATGTGTTATTATTTGGACAGTTCCCTACAGTATTATTTGTTAAATCTTTATGCAGATGTTAGGTTTTTCTTGGTTTCTTTTGATGCTTCTCAAAATGGAAATGGGACTCAGAGTTCTGAATTACGAATCTGCATGGATTCACACACCCCTAATATTTAGATCTTTGCTGTTCATTCAAAGGGAACCAAAGGGACACAATGTCACTTCCCTTGGTGGAGTTCCAGAATCAGAACCCTGACTTGAGTACCTCACAATTAGCTTCTCCAGATAGTAAGACATATAGCAGGGCCTTTGATTCTGATTATACATTGAAACATCTGCCAATGATGTATAAATCATTTAGCTTTTTAAAAAGTTGTAGGATGTGCATGAGTAAAATGTCTGTAAATCTACTTGCAATCATTTCAGACCTCACTGACCATTAATGCATTGTACTCTCAACCAATTTCATGAATTTTAAATGTAATGAAATAATATTCTTCTAAAACTATAACTGGAAGTTTTCTTTGATCTTGCTATTAGATGGGTACAAGCAGATAAGATTGATCATACCCTCTATGATCCTCCTCAGAGGTTAAGATCAATGAGGGAGGCCCTGCTCTCGATCCTGCCACCTTTGTAGGTGTGTCTGACAGGGACAAGGGTGGTGGTCCCTTGTCTGTGAAGGATATTTCCTAACGAAATCAGGTCAGCACCTTATCTCCTGTCCTTCAGGAAGAAATTGAAATCATGGCTGTGGGACCAAGCTTTCGGGCAATAGTCACAGCAGTAAAAATTATAAAGGACTTCTGGTTGACAATTGGTGGATTTTGAATTATGTCTCTGGGCTTGGACTTGCCTCTTTTAAATGGCCCTTTTAACTTATGATAATGTTTTAATTAATGTTTAACTGTGTTTTTATTACTGTTGTTGGCATCTAATGGTTGCTGGTTGTAAGCCGCCCTGAGTCCCCCTCTGGGGGTGAGATGGGTGGGATATAAATGTCTGCAATAAATAAATAAATAAATAAATAAAGGTATTTTATTGTTCTTGATCTAGTCATTAGAAATTTGACAATCAACACTAGAAAGAGCAGAAGTTCATTTATTACTTTTTTCTTATTGAGAAAAATATGCTTTTGTCTTTTTCAGCCCTAAAGGGCTGCATTTTTATCTATTCATTCTTTGATTGTATTTACACACATAAGTATATCATTAATAGGTTTCGGGTTGTTAAGAACTGTTTACTGATCTGGAGTAGGATGTCAAATAATAGATTGACATCTCTTCCAAAAATCACATTTCTTTTTTGTTCTACAGACTGAGAATGGGTAGTTTTTTTTTCCTGAAGTAGAATTTATTGCAAAGGAAGGGATGACAGATATCTTGAGAAGGGAACGAAAATTGCAAGAATGAATTTTGAGCTTTTTATTTTTTCAGCTCATGTATTCACAGTAAACCTATTCCTCTGTAGTCAACTATCTCTTTCTAAGATGAAATTGCTGAACAAGGATGAATTAAAGAGGATGAAAAGCTGCATTATCAGATTGCAATCACTTTAAGACCAGCTGAACCACAATGGTGATTTGTAAAGGTAGTGGATGCACTGGCAAGTTGTCATGTAGAGTGGGTTGGATTTTGGAAAACATGAAATATCATCCAAACACAACTTATTTTCTTGTTCTTATCTGGAACTTAAAGAAATAGGAACTTCAAAGACAAATGGAAACTTCATAAGACCAGTTTCTTAAAAAGTGGAACTCTGAACTGAGCATAGATATTGCTTTACACTTAAATGAATCCCAACTAAATAGGAAGTTATAAAAAAAATCTTGCAGTGTAAATTTTTCCCAAATCCATCTGTTTTCAAAAAACATTTGATCATCTTTTCTCAGTCTTTATATAAGTGTCTTACTTGAGGGATGAACTGCTATGAACTGATAGAAATCATTAGAGATCTTTAAGTGCTAAAACATCAACTACTGTTTACGTATAGCAAGATAAGAATTCATACTATGTCATTCTTGAGCAACAGTACTCATTGTTTGGCAGCTGCTGTATACAAGAGAGCCTTATACTATAGACTCCTCATCTCCCTTATCAAAGTATGATATATGTCAAGAACATAACACATTAATTTAGAAACTGGCTCCCTGCTGCTGAAGCATACTTGTTCTCTATGGAAGATCAATATTTAGCTTTGTTTTATATTGCTAATTGACTTTGTAAGTTGCAGCCATGTTATCTGGAGCTGGGCTGGAGGAGTACCTTTTACATCAGATCTTTGTTCCCATGCACATTTTGTTTTCTGCATAAAATTGGGACTGTTTTACTTGTTGAGGAAGATGTAAACAAGTGATTTCAAATGCCTGTTCCTCTCATTCCAGGTTTTCAGCTTCCTGAGTGGGAAGAGTTTATAAAACCAGAGGCAGTAACTTGTGGCGGGCCACCAGTATTGAATTGTACCTGTGTGGTTGATCCCAAAGGGGTAACATTAACCTCCTGCAAGAAATACAAGGCACCATAAGTGCACCAAGCTTTTTGTGTGTTCTAGACATACAGGTCTTGTGTGACAGTCAAGATCTGTTGTTGGGTGCCAATTTCAATGGATGTTCCAGTTGTGACCTTTTGTGGACAGAGATAATTTAGTCATGTGAACTGGAAACCTCTCAGTTAGATGGCTAGTGTGCTCTATTTTGGTCTGTCCTTTAAGAAGTCTTGGAAGTTGCATCTAGTGCAAAATATACAGCTTGATTGCTGACTGGAGAACTTTATAAACGGTAAATAATGTCAGTCAGCCAATTGCACTGACCGCCAATATGCTTCTGGTCTGAATTTAAATTCTTTATACAGGCAGCCCCCGAGTTACAAACATCTGACTTACAAAAACTCATAGATACAATCTGGGATGAAACAACAGGAAGTGAGATGAATCTACTCATAGGATTTACTCCTGAAAGAGGTATCATGGACTAAAGGTGTCTCAACTGAAACTTTATCACCAATCCTTGTTTCCACAGCAAGCCAAGTTTTTCAAAATCCAATCTTAGGGACAAGAAGTGAGGTGAAATCTTCTGAACAGGAGCACAGACAGTACAACAAACACCACACGGGTGTTAACCCTTCCCTATGTTACCCAAAGCATACGTATGTGTATGTGTATGTGTGTGTATGTGTATGTGTATGTGTCTGTCTGTCTGTCTGTCTGTCTGTCTGTCTGTCTGTCTGTCTGTCTATCTATCTATCTATCTATCTATCTATCTATCTATCTATGGAGTTACCTTTTAAAATGTACCTGTTCCGATTTACAGATACATTCAATTTAAGAACAAACATACAAAACCTCTTTTGTTTGTAATTTAGGGATTGTCTGTAAATGGTTTTGAACCCAATACTTTTCCCTATGTGCACCTACCCAAATATTGAGGTCCTCTGGCAAATGTGTTCATTTTAGTACTGTTATCTTTTCATTGCTAAGGGAAGATGTCTGAAGATCTTAAATTTCCCGACTGCTAAATTTCTTCTCTTAATTCTTGTAGGTGTCTTACATTGGTCAAGACTGCAAGAAAATTCCAGAATTTCTTGGCAGAAAATATGGAAACATTGCAAAAAGGCTGGATCTTAGCTTCAATTTACTAAAGTAAGTCATGATTTTCAGAAAAGCTATTGAGTGACACCTTAGCATGGGCAACTTTTTGTATTTGTTTTATTATAAACCATCAGTTTCTATGCTGACACACTGTTCACAAAATTACATATAGGTTGTATTGAAATGGACTAATCTATGTAGAGAAAATAGTTAGCATTGTTTGGAATGTACAAGAAATGTTGGAAAGGGGGTTATCAATATCAAGTATCATTTGCAACTCAACAGATGCAGCTTACACTGTATAATAATTTTTTTACCATTCTTCATCTGCTTCTGCTGAAAGAAGAGCAGAATGAAAATGTGTTTGAAGAACAGAGCAGGAATACTTACACTTTTAAAAGTGGCTGAGGTTTCAGCCAATATTTTCAAGGACTGGATTCATATACATTGCATAGAGAAAATAATGTTTGTAAACACTGAGTTTCTATTTTTTGTACTTGAAGTGTGTTTCCTAAATTAGAATGTTCACTAACTGGTAATTGCAACACTAAAATATGTTGCAAATAAACAGATCCCTCACACAATTTAAAAGTGTAAATTAAAAGTCATTGTAGCCCATATGTCATAATGTAGAGTTACGTTTGTTTACAGAAAAAAGACAGATTTCTGTCACTTTCTGGACTGCTAAGTTTCTAATCCTTTGCACATCCTCGTCTTTGGAAACTGAAAACAAGGAGGGATCCCCCCCCCCCCAGTAAATGTGTGAGGTATTGCGCTGAAAGTGTCAGAGTGATAGGAAGTTCTATCTGACCTACATAGGAATTACTGCATTTATCTGTGATGATTCATTCACACATGCATGTTTGGAAAGTTCACCCATATATGTGAACAGTTTGGAAAATGTTCCTAATTTTCTTTGAATTGTGCCCAATAATGTTATGGACTTGTTGGGGGCAAGAGTGGATAACTTGTCCAAAGTAGTGTGAAATGAGGATATGGCTAATGCCAGAAGAATGCAAGAAATTTACAATAATGCAGTTGTGAATGTTGATTGCGTTCCAGAGGCAGGTAATATTTAGACTCTTTTAAAATAACTATTTCCAAGATTGTAGCATGCTCATATAATGTTGCCCACAATAATCAGGAATGCAGAGAGGTGCAACAACAGGAGAGAGAAAGAGGAAGGGAAGATAAATTTAAGATAAAGTACAGTATTCTTATTATAGTCCTTTATATTAATCTTCTTTTATTTGAATATGATAAATATGCACTATAGTTAAAACTTTGTAATGGGCACATTTTTTAGGGTACTGGGAGTATTTTCACTGTAATTGGGTAATCCTTAATAGTCGCAATTGCATATTTATCAATGTGAGAGGCTGTTATTAATGTAGCTGTCATGCACAAACACATTTCTGCATGAAATCCATTTAGTATGTGCATTATTCGTTCTGGAATGTCACCAGGACATCAAAGCCCCCCTTAGGCATAAGAGCCCAGTGCCCTGCTGCGGCTGCAGAAAGGGCTTGATCAATAAATGTAACATGTTAATGCGGAGCAAATAGAATAAAAGATTTTCTTTGACAAGACATGAAAAATCACCTTGTGTCAGCTGGCATGGCGGTGCCATTTCAGCAGAGACACTTGCAAACTTGATCTGACAAGTAAAGAGGAGAGATGATGGTTATAAGGTGCTTTTGTTTCAAACTTCTTTTTTGACCTGTCAGGCTTTGAAGGAGCCTGAATGGCCCTTTTTTGTCATGTGAAAATTGTAGTCTTAGGCAGTTATGAAGCAGTTATCTCTTCTCAAATTGTGAATGCTGCTGTTTAATTGATTCACTTAGCATTTGAAACTGTCACGCATTAATAATTGCTAAATCCTGTAGGTACTCTCTGATGTGTCATGCTTAAATGTGTAGTTATCAGAAAATTAATATCCTTAATGAACCAGAGCCTCAGACTAGCATTGCATGAAATTCTCCTTTGCCCTTTCATTTGCTAAATGTATATGAGCCAGTTTTCAGAGCAAACCCCTCCTGGAGGTTGGTTGCATTCTTTTTGATGCCCGACAATTGCCAGATTTGCTTTGGGTACACAGTGTGCTAAATGACAAATACAGTAATTATACTGGAGTTGGCAATTAACATAATTATAGTCAATTATGACAAATACAGTGCAGAGTTAAATAAATGTGAGGGGGGAGAAATTAGCAAGCTAATTGATTTATCTTGTTCTGTTTTTGCAAGTGGCAGTTGTAGTCTTTTCTTTCTGTGGAGAAAAAATGATATTTACAAAGAAAGGATTTTGTTGTGAAGCCATTCTGCCACATACCTCTTCTGCGCACACTGACCTACAGGATCAATTTATTTTTTTAAACAGCTAGATCCTGTCAGAGGGGGAAAAGAAAAATCCACCCTGGTCTTCTTTGCATTACGTGTTTTTTATTAGCTAAAGCTGACCATCAAATTGGTCCATGTTATTTAGATTTCTAAAAATAAACAGATTTGTTTGGGGTTCTCCATCCATCCATGTTTTATTTATTATTTATTTATTTCCGGTATTTCTTCCCTGTTCCTTCTCAACCCCCGAAGGGGGACTCAGTATGGCTTACATTTGGCACTAATTCGATGCCACTACATATAACAAAGCAGTATAATAACAAATTAAAACAATAAATAAAAGCAATAAAACAGTATTAATATCCATATCATCATTCCAGTCGAATTCCATATCCAAGGTGCTATTTATGCCTGTTGTCCAAAAGCTTGGTCCCAGAACCACGACCACGAATTTATTCCTAAAAGACAGGAGGGATGAAGTCGATCTTACCTCTGTGGGAAGCGAGTTCCATAGGTGGGGTGCCACAGCTGAGAAGGCCCTGTTTCTCGTCCCCGCCAGCCATATTTGCAATGCTGGCGGGAGTGAGAGCAGGGCCTCCCCGGATGTTCTTAAACTGCGAGGCGGGACGTATATCCATGTAGTAGTATTTTGTAGTATCATTTGTTGGTGTGTGTTTGTGTCTACTCTGAAGTCAGCTGTAAGTTTTTGGTAACCCCATGAATTTCTTAAGGTTTTCTCAGGCAAGGAATCCAAAGAGGTGGGTTTGGCAGTTCCTATCTCAGAAATCTATCCTACAGTACCTGGTACTTGGTCCCCAATCCAAGTATTAACCAGGGCCAACCTTGCTTTGCTTCCACAACCTTAATTTAGTTTAACCATCTACTAGTTAGGAATTTAGTGTTTGGATTTGCATCTATACAAGCAACACCCAGTCCACTGTTTGAAAAATAGCTGATATAAGAGTTTTTCTGGAGCTGTTACTTGGAAGAAAAGTTGTTCTGACAAAAATCAGATAATGTTCTGCTCTCTGGCATTTACTTTAGATGTGTTGCATATAACTAAATAATACGCATGATTTTAGGAGTACAATTTTGACATATTCTAGATTAAAGTACCTGTAAACATGGGCTTCTTTAAAATGGTATGGAAAGCACATAAAACATTATGTTAGACAGATATAGAAGAACAGGGATTTATGCATATAATTCAGTGTGCAAGCAGGAGCTTTTCAGCTTTTTCCTGTTGGTAGCTACCCATCCTGTCCTCAAAAACCCAAATTCTTTGAAAACAAGGAGTTGAGTATAATAGCACCCCACAAAGCATGAAGGATTTCCACCACCAGTAAAAACTGCTCACCTCCTTAAAAATATATGTAAATCATTCTCAAACTTAGATAAGAGCAGTATTTACATAAATGCTGAAACCTGGCTGTATTGACAGAAGGATGAAACTGGTGTATGGAAGGTTTTCTAAAGCCAAAGGAACAGAACTGAATTGGAATTAAATTTACTTGACCAGGCATAGCCAAATAAGGTGTCTAAAGTTACTGCCCTTGATACTGCCATGATAAAAACTGTTAGGATGAGAAGCCACTACGTACATCATGAAATCTACGTTTTAAAAATGTTGCATTCGAATCCCTCAGTATAGTGCTACAGAAGTATGTAAGGGATTTAAAAAAACAAGGAAAAACGATTGCCTTAATAAATTCACTGGCATAATACAGTTGGTTGTGCTCCCTCTGTGTTAGCTATGCTTGTGTTAGTCTTGGTGAAACGAGCCACTCTGATGTCACGCTGTCTATTACGTGAACTGGCACAGACGATTGTCATGGAGCAAAATGGGGGCAAACCTGATTATCATGACAGCATCAAAGACCAGTGCATTTTTTTCCGGGCTGAGGAGCCAGTGTGTCAGATTAGACATGCATATATAGTAATTATGTTGTCATCCAGGTCACAGTTAATACAGGTCTGTTCCTCAAGTTACAGGCTCTTTCAGTGAAAAGGCACTGACAACCAGGAAAGCCTTGTGCTTAGATTTTTGTGGTTTGTTTCCATTACATGGTCAATCAGTGGCTGAGTGGTAATTTTCTCTTTGGACTGCTCTTATTTTGATTTTATGGTGACGATGCTGAAAATAGTTTTGTCCATTTTCCCTGCTAGTTACTATGCCTTCTTGTATGTTCTCCCTTCTAATTTACCTCCCAGTTAATGAATGAAAAGTTAGAAAACTGTGACAAAAGCATGTTTAAAAAGTAGTTGCAATTTTGTAGTGAGAAACTAGGAGATACCATTTTTTGTGTTTCTTATGCAATTTTGGCCTAAATACAGACTTAAAGTATAGATTTCAAGACTATAGTTACAGAGGAGTTGATTTTAAATACATTTAAAACCCAGGAAGAAGGAGTTTTGAGGAAAATAATTATGTCCCCACTTCCCTGTTTGATATCCCTTCATCACTGAGTATCAACTGGAAAGGGACATACTAAATTAAGAAGCCATTGGGCTACAGATTGATATGTATTGTGTACTTCAGTCTAATATCAGATTCCACTTAATTGTGTGATACTGTTGATCTCCAACTTAAAATGTGGGCTTTGTTTATTTAATTCAGTATATTAATTTAGTCTACTTCAGTTCCATAAATGGGACTCTTGTCAGTGTAACAAAAAAGTTTTCCTTCATAAATATTTTTAACTGGTTTTATGC